AACCCCAGGAAGGCGTTTGACTGGCACTTTTCTGAGTTTGGGGATCATGTAGGATGGTGGAAGCTGCTCTTCCTGACAGATCTAGAGCAGTTTGGGGAAAGAAGATAACAGAAACTGTCAGGTACTTGACACCTTACTCCAGTTTGTGCTAGAGCAGGCTCAGTGCTGCTAAGCTTCAGATGCTTGATGACTTCTCTTCCTAAAGATGCACAAACCAGCTGGGAATGGCAGGGATATAATATATTTCAATAAGTAGCATGTCGGATCTGGTAGTGGGATTTTCTCCCCTTCCTCACTCAGCCAGTGTAGTGCAAAAGCAAGTCACTTTGAACAGGTCAGGGAATTTGCTCTAAAGTATTGATTATGGCTTCTAAGCTCTTTTAATAGCCTGATCACCCTCAGTGTTGCAAAGTAACTGTTTGCAGCACCCCCCTAATACCATTACAAGTTATGCAACTGCACTGTTTTCAGGAGCCAGTATGTCAAAGTTCTCTGGCAAAAAGAGAGACACACTGTTTGGTGCTTGATGGTACAATTCAGTAATTTCTGGCTGCAGCCTCCTTTTTTTTGAGGTGCGGTTTGGTTTCCTGATGGCCAGCCCATTGGAGAGGAAGGGCTGGAGGGATAGCTTTGTGCTTTTCTCATCCTGTTCAGAACAGCACGTACCACAGCTGGAGTAGACCGGGAGAACAGTACTCTCCTCTCCCAAAATTACAATATCTTGCACCACAACTGGAACGATGCTGCATCATGGCACAGGCATTGTGAGGCATCATCTGCTACATCACAAGCACGGTACAAATGGGTCTTGGACTGTAACAACTTGGAAGCATCCCATTATTTCTCAGTCTGAGTCCTCTCCTGCGGTCTGTCTTTACTGAAACTCTTCTTGCTTCCATTTTCATCCTAAGGGCACTAAAGGGGTCAAGATAGGGAAATTTGATCAAATTTTCAGAAGACGATGATCGTGAACAAAAATTACGCAGTCACGTGTTACCTGGCTTTGGTAGGAAAGAAATTATAACCTGAGTATTGATAAAGTCAGTGGTGATTATATGTGTGACTAAGAACTGCTGGGGCAGGGTCTCAGGCTGTAAGAGAGGGAGAATCAGACTTTTGGTGAATATTTGGGGCAGTGAACCTGAGGTAATGTATGATCTGCTACATAGGTCAGAGTTAGGGTTTGGTTTCCCTCAAGAACCGACAGATCAGGATTTTAAGAAGGGCACGGGGAGAATAGGGGAGTAGAATGGACCTGCTGCTGCTGCTAACAACCATTAAAAAATACAAAGCCAGCTGCTCTCAGAGCAGAGCTTGATCCTTTCAATGCCTTCAACGGCACAGTATATATTCAGAGGAGAGGAATTCATGAGGCCCTACAGACCTACACCATGGCATTACACAAAAATGCAAACCCGAACAATGGGTGGCCTCAGCAGTTCCATCTGGCTCGCCATTAACAAGGTTAAAGTAAAGTGGGTTTCCTTGGCTGTGTCACACACAATTTACACTTCAGATGCTTTAACTTTGGAGCCAGACTGAAGGGAGCACCACTCTAAACGCATGCGTCAAGGGTTGCCTAAGATCTGTGGTAAGTACATTTGGTATTGATGTTCTTTGAAAGATACAGAGGAGTAGCATTTAGATATTTTTGGCTAAATAATTTAGAAAAAAAAATCCTAATGACAAATTAGAATTGCAGTCAAGTATTGTTTGCTCAAAATAATCTAAGGACACAATAATATTAGCAGCTAGAAGCAGCTAACAGCAGAAGTTATTAGAGACCTGAGAAATGTTGCCACCAGCATTTCTGGTATGGTAAACTCAAAACTCCAATACGCTTTTAAGCTAAAGAGGATATTGATACGTGTAAATGTATTCTGTTGTAAAGCATTCTGCTTTCAGAGCCACCAAAATACTTAGATAGTTAACCATGGCAAATAATGACCTTTAAAACACTGCTGTAGAGAGAGAGTGATGTATCAACAGGTATGTTGGTCTGTTAATTTCTGTGCCATTGATTCATACAAGGCATTGGATTATCACAGCATTTTGCAGAAATCATGTTCTTTGTCTTGGCTTTGAGATGTTTCAAGGGAACCCAAGAGTCCTATAGAGTGTCCCATTCTTGAAGAAAAATTAAATTGTTACTGAATGAGTATCAAAGTTGATAATTCAATTGTGACACTGCTTTATGATCTATAAGACACACATTTGAGCAGTTAAATCTGTGATAAAAATCTAAGGTGATTTACAGAGAGAGGATATACCTATTGTTACTGAAGAGGTATTCAAGGCATTCCTCGGAGCAGGACAAGTGTTGCCCTGGATGATGAATCCTACAAGAAACCTAGCCATCCTGGTTGCCTTTGACCATAAATTGTAAGTTCAATAGCAGAGCAGAACTTCATACTCCTCCTAAAGTTAAAGAATTAAACTTGCATACCATAAAACCAGCAGACATTGTTGACTTGCAGTTATCCTAGCAACATCAGTAGTCTTGTGTAGGAAGGCCTTTAGCAAGCATAATGCCATGCTGAGCTTCCTCCTTGGTGAGCTGTGCAGTACTGCTGTGATGGGACACACTTCCTCTTCAGCATGCTCTCAGAAGGTTAGCATCAGTCTCACCAGTGTTGAACAGCCCTGCAGTTGCTTTGTGCCTCCCAGGGTTTTCTGGCAAGTGAGCCAGTGTCTCTGATGACGGTCTCTGTTATGTGCCATTAATATGGGAGTTGGTGTGGATGGCTCTGTGCTTGTTTATGCCTCTTCTTACTCTGTTGTCCAGCTCTCTAACCCATCCTCACGGCCCCTCAGTGCTACCTTTTCATCTCTCTGACGAAAGCAGAAATATCCTTAAGCATGACACCTTAGTTTCTGACTGCATGCAGCGGTCCTGTAATCATAACCATGATTATTGTAAGATGCCATTTGACAGGCATGTCAAATTTCCTGAACTCTTCTCAAAGACTTCCTGCCCACTGCATTTGAGGTAACTACAGGCAAAATAAATGGAGCTGAGAAGTCATCTCATGACTAATTAGTGACAAACCATTGACATTCCCTTCTCCTCTTCATTTTTAGCTACCAGTCCGCTCTCCTTCGATGAGCAGCAGCTTTTGACTCAAGCCCTACCTTAACAATAGCCTCAGATAAGTCAGAGAGCTATTCTTGCTGAGCCCTGACAGGTGTAATGCTTCCACACCAAGCACTGCAGTGGCAGGAAGATGAAGAATAATGCAGCAAGGCAGAACCCGTGAAGGAGGTGGAAGGGAAATTGTCCAACTGCATGTATGAGTGTATGTCCAACTGCAACTTGCATGAGCATAAACTGAGAAATGCCCCAGCTATGCTGTGTGTTCATAGCATAGGGAGGGAAATTTCACAAAAAAAGCATTAGTTAACGTGAAACAGGGATGGTTGATTTATGGGGAAAATGTAAAAGAATGGTGTAAAAACATATTTCTTTAGAGTAGGGATATTATGCATCTCATGTGCTATATTTAGCGTGTATTTAACTCAAAGCACACAACTCAGTTACTTTTTGTTAGTTCTTTTCCAGCTCGTTGTCTCTAATTGAAGGGGAATTCAGCCAAAGCCACACAAAACTAAGTTCAACATCTGCATCTTGTGCCTGGACTTGGAATGCCTGGACTTCATCCACCCTTCACATATACATACCTACTGGTGCAGATCAGGCAAATGGAATATTATGATTGACAAATTCATGAAACCAGGTAGAAATCTGGTATAGATTTGTGTGAAGGCCACAGATTTGTGTGAAGGCCACATATATGCTGTGACCAGGGGTAAGTGCCACTCCACAGTGTAGTTCCTCTGGTAAGAGCATTTGAGGACAGTGGGAATTTCACTGCTTAATCTACTCCCTCCCACTTCCTGATAGTGTTTATCACACCCACAGTTGTGCCAATGCAATGATTTATGATTTTGCCTCAAAACTGGAGATGTGATATGAATCAAACTAAACAAATGCTACAAATTGAAAAAAAAAAGTAAATTAATTAACTGAAATATTTTCCTTTGAGAATTAGCTAGCATTTTAGTTACTGCACGGATCATCACATGAATCATCCTTAGGAGTTTTTGAAGGCAGATCATATGCCTTTTGAAGTATTGTCCTTGGAAAGGGGGCTGTTTACTTTGTAATTAACTTCCATTTATTTTTACATTACCCAAGGAAAAGCTATGAATGAAATGTAAAATAGTTGAGCTGGAGTCCTGGTCGCTGCTTAGGGTTCTGGATGGGTTGCAGCATTCAAGCAGGATCGCTGACAGTTCACTGCACTCTGCCTGGCACAGCATACTGTTGCTGGCTTGTTTCACAGTACGGAGTATGAAAATAGAAGGGCACCCCAGAAGCTGTCTCTGATGCTGCCAAGACAGCAAGCAGCTGTGGTGCTCACTGTGCAAAGTTCTGCAGGAAACTGGAATGAAAGCTAAGCACGATAGTTTATTGAGTACATTCTAATTCAGATTTTTGCATCACGTAGAAGGTGTGTGTTTTCTTCATCTCATTCTCAAATTTGTGCTTCCTGCCAACAGGAAATGAAAAGTACACGGGGAGGGCTTTTCGGTATTTATGTGAAGTCCAATTAAGCTCACGATAGCCCTCATTTTCTCTGTAATGTTTGGATTGTGGATGTAATTGAAATTACTCTTCACAACTTGTCTGTGACTTTTCGTGCCAATAGTTGAATAGCAGTGAAAGAGCTATAACAAAGAAATCAGTTTCAAAATCAGGTATTTTATGCATTGTCCAGGATGTGCTTGATTCCTGCACTATTTCAGTGAATGGCAGTTTGTGGCCTGATCACCATACGGTTATACTCTGTTGTAAATTGTTTTTTGTTTCCTTGGTTTACCAGATATAATCTCGAGGGGCACAGACTCGGATCCTCAGAGTTATGAGGACCTTGCTTGCCTCTGAAGTCAGTGGGAGTTATGTATTTAAATACCTGTAAACCTTTGATTATACCTAACAGAGTTACGCAGGCTGCCTGTGACAGAGAAAGAAGGTAATGCCACACTCTGCATCACCAGCTTCTGAGCCTGGGTAGGATGAGACTTTTTGTGAGGGAAATTTGTGTCTCCTGGGTGGGGGACACAGTCTCCCTCTACTCTGTGGTTATGTGGAATTGTGTATTTCTAGGTATTTTGGATATTTATAATAGGAGGTTCGTAAGGAGGAGGGCCAAAGGGATCTTGATTTTAGGAGCAAAGCTTTCTGTCCTTTAGGTTTTCAAGAGTGAGGTTCATTTAATAAATAAACAATTGGTTTGTTTCTGGAAGTATACAGGAATAGTTTAGGAAGTGACAGACTTCTAAAAGTCTAGTCCCTTGTCTGCTATGGCTAAAACTGTTCAGGTATGACTATTTACAACCTCACAGAAGGCATTTGGTTCATAGATTTGATGTTTAGGTGCTACCAACAACCTCAACCCCCAAATTTTACTTGCTGTCTGTGTTTTGTGTCAGCTGGGAATTTATACTGGACAGCCAGCAACTCAGTGCTCTGACTTACAGCTGAGCTCCTCAAGAATTATCAGGTTGGCTCCTGTGTTCACTACTCCTCTACCCTGGCCATAATTCTTCAGTTTTCTTTTTTAAACTTTGTGATTTATGCTGTGTTCTGCTTTCAAATGTTACATCAACCAGCAAACACAGATTTCCAGGTGGAACTGAGGAGCTTCAACCTGCATTGCTGCGTTGCCTCACAGCTTGTATCAGCCTGACCTGTGCAACCAGCCTTGGCTACTGCACTGTGACTTTTCTGTATTCATACACAGTGGGAAATTCTTTTCTCTGTTACACCATTAAAGTTAACAGATAATAAGCTCAGTGAAGTCATCAAAATTGCTCTGGATGTATACCCATGTGATCAGAACATTCAGATGCTCTGTTTCTGGGAACATGCAATATTTTAAAAAACTTCTATTGACCTCATTGTTATAATTTTACTGAAGTAATATCTTTTAATCTACATAATTCCAGCCAAGAGGGTTAAAGTGATCTTGTTAACCACACATGGGGAAACTTTTTCAGTTATGTTCTGTTATTTTTAATTCTACACAGAATTAATAGAATTCAGAGAAATAAGTATTAAACCTGTGCATAAGATTTGTTGTCCTGAGGCCAAACTAAGAAAAAGGAAATGCCAAATTTTCAGTTAACAGTGTTTTTATATGTACAGATGTGCTTTTAATTTTTATGTACACAATTATAGCAAGAATTAATAATATGGATAAATCTGGTGGTGAGACAGGGCAGAATAGTAGAAAATGGCATTAATTCTCTTATAATTCACAGGGATCAGGCAGTGTGGGACAACAGAAATACCTGCCTCAGGTGGGAATTAAAAGCTTTAACATATAAGGCTTAATCCTGTTGCAGCCGAAATCCTCTTTTCACGCTTTACTGTTGCTTCTGCATGTTGATGTGAAAAGTTTCAAAATAATTTTTTCTTTTAAGATGCTGAAAGCCTCTTAAAAATGTGTTACAGAAAATGCTTAGCACAGCCATTTAGTAATAATGTCAATATATGAAGCTAATCCATTTTAGGCATCTTAAGATGCCAATTCAGAAAACTGAATTAGGAAGTGACTGCTTTCTTTCTCAGTCAGTGCATCGGAGTGATGTAGAATTTCCTTACCAGTAAAATGTGGCTATAGAGCATCTGAATGATTTAATTGTTCTTGCGGGTATTGAATGTGTGAACTTATAGGTGCTATTTCACGGGAAACCAACCACCACATTTGATGTCCTTTTGTTACACAGTTGGGAAAGGAAGCCCTCCGTGTAATTCATGTGACATGACTTTATCAATGTCACGAGCTTTGGAAGGAACCCCTATAGAGATAGCTGGCATGGCCTCCTCATAGAGAGTGTGTCAGACAGTAACCATCCCTTTATTTCTGAAGACTTAAATGAAAATGTGAGCTTCTGGTCAAATCCTGCAGTCCTTAACACTTGTGAAGCCTACATTCATGCAAGTCATCTAATTCAGTGAATGTAATGGGAGAATCCATTTCAAGGCTATTATCTAAGTCATTCCATGCTCCTGTCACCAGATATTTCTGAGACCTTGTGAATGATACTGACTTATATGTGATACCTAAAGTCATATGACTCTCAACTGGTATTTGGGGAAGAAGAATATGTTTTGAACTTCCAGAATAGCCTTCCTCTTCCTCTTCTTTCTTTACCACTACTTGCTTCAGTGCTCCAGCCTACTGCCAGGATGCCATTTGCTGTTTCCAGCTGTTGAGAGGAGTTGGCATTCCTTGTATTTGCTGCTAATGTTAGTGATAAAATAAGGACCAAAAGGGAAATGGCAGTTTTTAACAACTGATTCCCAGTTACCTACTGCCCTTTTATCTCATCTGTGGATTAACTGATCAGTGGATGTAGAAACCCTGGAACCAGCTCTGCTGAGAGGCAGATAAGGTCAGGCATGCCTCTTAGCTCATGAACAGCATCTCACTGACCCAGAAAGAGTTGAGCCGGTTTTATGCAGCGTGCATCCTTATCCACATGGCCAGGAGGCTCAAGCCACCTCTGTGAAGGCTTCTAGTGTTACTGAACTATGCTTCTGTAAACAGGGGCACCGAGCAGTGCTTTCAGACGCAGGCAGCCAAGGTCTGCTTAGTTCTGGCCACTCCCACACCTGCCCAGCGCTGCACCCCAGCTGACTCTGGCAGTAGGCTGCAGATGTGGGTACACATTGGAGCAATACCCAGAGCAGACCTTGGGCAGCCTTTCCACCAACATGAAATATGGAAAATACTTACATTTAAAAAAACTATTGCATAAAGAGCTGTTTTAATTTAAAAACCATTTTCTATTATTATTCCCACAGAAACTGAGGCTTACAAGGCAAATCTGTAGTTGAGAATATTTGTGTGTGTGTTTTTATTGTGCAAAGAGATTACAGTAGTAGACTCACTTGAAATCATGGTATAACCTTTCATGTTGGAAATGCATGATATATGACAGTTTAAAACATAACTTCCTTAACCCGTTGCTGATCTTTATCTGGATGGGTTAAAGCCATTAAAATATACGCATTCTTTCTATACTTTATTAGAGCAAAACCATCTTTCATGTTATTTACGAAAAAAGACTTCACTTTGTAAATTGTTAATTCAGGAGGTTTTAGCTCTTAATACAAAGAAAACACTTTTGTTGTAATAAATGAAAGTACATCCAAAGCATTCCTCTGTGAAGATGCATTTCCTAATTTGTGAAAAATAATTTTCCTCCATGCCTGTAAAGAAGGCTGAGTGGATAGTAGAGGTAAGTTTTGTGGAAAGGAAGAAAGAATGGAAACGACATTGTTGAAGTTATTTTTTTTAAGCGGTGCTGTTGCAGTCCTTTCCATTTTTATGGAGAAAAAAAGACTGCATTTTGTGCATTTTGAACCACCTCTCTGTTTCATTGTTGTTCTTGGTTCTAAAAAAGAAAAACAAAAAGCCAAGAAAAAAACCCACCTTCCAGTAAAATTGTATTAGCAGATTTTAAACAATTTTATTTCCTCACAAACTGAAGCTAAATTGCATCCTGACAGGCCTGATTTATCAGGCAAATGCCCCATGTTGTTTGTCAGCTTCTTTGTTGGGGGGGAGGGGGAGGGGAAACGCAAGCAACAAAAGACCGTAACCTATTGATATTACTTCTGCGATACACTGGGGAAAATAGATTGATTTAGAACTATCCACAGAAAACTAGTCGATCTGATGAGTTTACAACAGACCATTTTTATTTATTTATTTGTAACAAGAGTAAACATCATCAATATTCCACCGCGTGTCATTGGAAGCCTTGCAGACCGTGAGTTTGTGTCAGCGTGCTGGGGCTATCTGTAAGATGAAAGAAGGCAAGCTTAAAAAATGGAGGGACCTTGTTTTTCTCACAAAATTGAGAGTCTTGGACCTCTGGTACATTATCATGAGTTGTAAGATTTGCAGGATAAATAGATGAGCATTTTTATTTTAGTTCATCTTTATTTCTTTAGGAGATCAACTTTTTTTAAATTATATTTCTGTTATATATCTCAAAAAGCTAGTAAAGCACAGGAAATTTTCTAACTGAATTTTACTGAAGAACACCAGTCTGCAATTAACTTTCCCAGCATGTCGCCTCTGCACAGTGTTTTGCATGACGGAGGGGTAAAGAGTAGCAACTACTCACAGGACCAACACAAATCTAAATGTGGCACCGAAGTGCCATTTTCTGAATTGGTAATACTCCGTTTTACAACATTCTTGGATAAAAATAATTGCAATTTTAAAATTAAACTGATCTTTTTTTTCCCCCATGGAATGGTAAATGTGGGGGCGTTAGTGAAGTCTTCTGCCTTGATGTGAGCCTGCTTGGTGGACACACCATAAATGCTCTGATGAAGATGGTAAATGTTCCATTCTCTAGTTTATTTAACAAGATAGTTTCACTTGATCTTAAATGATTTTTTCAGTAGTATTTCAGTATTCACTGTTTTGAATACCAATACCTTATTAAAGTGTTTTCAAAGTTACTTGTATTCTCTCCTGCATTCAGCTACAGCTTAAGAATTAAAGGTTGATAAACAGAATGCTGTAAACCCTGGCTATGTGCATGTAAGCAGGGTGTGAATCTCCCAAAACAATACCTGCAAGGGAATCCCCCAGTAAAAGTGGTGAATGAAGGAGTGAAGTGTCAGCAATGCCAAGTGCAGGGGTCACAACATCTCCCCTATTCTTCCCCTGCTAGGGGCTCCTGCAGCTAACTGCCCTAGGAACTGACCAAACCTTTTTTATTTTCCAGGAGCAGTTGTTGCTTGATTTTAAGTTACAGTGACTGCAGCCACATGTTTCGTTTCAGCATTTCTTGCTCTAAAAGGATGATGTCTCTGCACTGTTTTAAGGCCTAAGGGTAATGGCCTTTTCTAAAAAAATATTCAAACTTTGGCTTTTTTTCACTTTTAAGTGTAGGCTTCTCACAAGGAGGATTTTCATATTATACCTGTATTAAGTGAAAGTAC